TAAGAATATGCCTAATAACAATAATGTAGAGACACAATCTTTAAATACTGGATTAAGCATTCTTTTTTTTGTTCGAGAAACAGCAAAAACTTCCCAAATATGTATTTCCTTTCGATCGCAAATAAATATCAAATGCCTGATATTGGTGTTTTTTCCATACATGCGCTTATTATCTGTTAGCGATAGATTAAAATAAGTCTAAGTTCCCAATAAAAAACAATTTTTATAATGAATAAGAGGATTATTTTTTTTTACATTATAAAATATTTGACATGATTGCGTTCATTTCTTTTGATACAAAAATAATCTTATTAAGATTTTATTAGATTGATAATAAATATAAACACATAGATTTTCTTTAGTCTATTATATTCAATGAAAGATGATGATAAGAGATTGAAGATTTGAAGTCAAACTTTAATAAAAATGATACATCATGTTTAAACTATAGAAAAATATAATCATATTTGAATGTCCTGGAACAAATAATACTAAAATCGATATTAAAATCAAATTTCATTTTACGTACATTTATTTATCACGCATTAAATACATCAATTTTCTACTTCTGTAATGACGTTTTTTTTAACCCATAAACATGTGAAGAAAAAGCCAATTTTTATCTTACAATGACATGTGTGAATTATTTTTTTTTTCTTTTCTCGTTATCGACCACTATTTTATCGTTAATAACAAAGTTATATCAACGAAAATTTTTTTATTCTATTTATAGTCTATTTCAAATAACGTTTATTGAGTTTAAAGACTGAAAAATTATTTTTCGTACCATAGTCGCATCTTTATATTTCGAGATCAATGATTAAACATAACATTCTCATAATTCCAAATCTATAATATTGAAATCTTTTCTTGTAAATAAATTTCCATTGAAATATTTCTTTAATAAAAACATGTTGTATTTATTCGTTGAAGTTTCGATGAAATTCCTATGAAAAAGCAAAACAAAATGTACATTTTTCCTTAAATTTATTTTCTTATTAACTGATCAATAATTTCGTTTGCAATGATATAAATATGTATGTCTTTTTTCTTATTCTTATTATGCTAAGTACTTTCATTGCAAGTCCATACATTTAATTATATATATATCTTCTCTTGTAGTATGCTTATATGTATTTAACAGACAAAGAATGAAAAAGTGCAGATGCTTGGTTGTTTTATTAGAATGAACATATAAAATGCAAAAGTACAATAGTGTGCGCATTTACACATAGAATACTGAGAACAAGCAAAAAAAACGTGAGGATCAGAACATCCTGGAATCTAACGCATATTGTCTATGTGACCTAGTTATGATTATGCATTAGGAACAAGTAAACGACGAATAACTGGATCATTCTTACATCCAGCAATGAACTAAAAGGCAAAAGAAAAATTTATTATTCAATTTTGTTTTATCTATTTTAATTTACTTCTTCTTTGCTTAATTTTTTATTTCCAGTAACATCACAAATACGAATAATTTCTTCAGCACGACGTTTTGGATCACGATCACCTAAAAATTTAATTCAATCATTTCTTTTCCTATTACGAAAATCTTTTTTTTTTTCTTGTACCTTTACGATCAGTTTCACCAATGAGATCATACATAGCCTATTAACAAAAAATATCCAATATTCATATTACTTTGAAAATCAACAAAAACAAACTAATACATACAGAAATAACTTTTGCCATTTCATTAGTATCAACTAAAATAACGAATCAATCAAAATAACGTTTTTGTTTTTTTTTAAATTTAACTTACTCCAACCACTGTTATTATAATCATACATATCAAATGCTAAAGCAAGACGTTCATCAAGATCACCTGATTGTGTCAATGCAATAGCAAGCATAAATTCAGTAAAATCGACTAAAGAAAAACCAGACAACGGCCATGAGTACATTAACATACCATTACAAAAAAAAATAACATACTGGTTCCATTATTATCGCGATCAAATGTAGCAAAAGCATATTTACAAAAATCTTTTGCTTTACCACCTGGATAAAATTGTTCGTAAACTGTAACAAAACGATCTTTTGATAATTTTCCAGTTGGACTAAAGAACAAAGAAGAAATTTCAAAAATAACAAAAAAAATTTGAATTTACCAATCACGTAAGAAACCAGCATGCCATTCACGAATTTGTTCTTCAGTAAAATTTGTATTTGCCTTTAGCATTTGAATAGCTTTTGGTGTAAGAATTGTACTATTTCAAAAAAACAACAATTATTAACAAATGAAATATAAATAATCAAATTATTCTTACGGATCAATTTTACTTGATGATTTATTACCCATTATTTAATTTTGATTTAAATTACTAAAGAATATATCTAGAAAATATAAATTATGTTTTATTGTTAATAGTTAGATATGTCTATGTATGTATATGATACTGATGGAAAAAAAATAAAAGTAATGAAATGCAAAAATCATTCTCTACATTTATATGCTATGCATTCTCTCTCTCTCTCTCTCTCTATCTATCTTTTTTTTTCTATATTTTTCTTGCTGATTCTTTGCTTTTTCTTTCATTGTTATGTGGTAAATATACTCGAGGCTTAGATATTTTTTTAATAGAACTGATATCGTGTTGATATGTTAATCATAAACAAAATAACGAAAAAAAAAATATTCTCTCGAAACTATTCATCTTGAACGAAAAATACTTATGATTTTTCATATATAAAAATATCATAAATATTCTTCATAGAAATAGAATAACTATACTCTGTGTATTATTAATTTCGCAACAAAAATGTGGTTAAAAAAAAAGATATCATGTGTTTCTAGTTCGCATCATCGAGGCTGACAAGTATGACATGATAACATTAATAATGACAACAATGATAATCGAAGAATTTATGTTTCTATTTCGTTTATGACTAAAATAGATGTACTCTTTATCAAGTATTACTAACTCTATTAGTCATCATTCGTTTTCATTTTATTGCTATCAAAAATAAAGAAAAGAAAAACGAAACGAGATATACATTTAAAGTACCACTCTGCGAACTGAATGAATCATGGAAACTACTGAAACTGTAGTAGTCACGTGTTCGTTCCAAATACTTTCATAGTCAACTCAATAGTGAGAAATACTTGTGATAAAAACAAAGTTCTATGAGTTGATTTTAAATAAATAATATAAATTCAACTTTTTTTTCTTTGTATATTTCATAAATAGTTGAATACAATATTGAGAGTTTTATAGACAAATCATTAAGAGAACAAATATTAGCATTCCCTTTACATAAATAATAAAGCTTCTAACACCAACTACATTCATCAATCGATCTTAGAATATTATTTAACATGTCATATTTATTATCTGATAGATCAATTGATATTTGATTATGTCTAAGAGAAAATGCTATTAGTTTAATTTCTGCGGAATTGAAATGCAAAACACAATGTGGTTCCTGTTACTACTAATCCCAGGGAAATTGTTTTATTTTATCTATTTTTAGATATATTTCTTCACCATTGCGTTTTACTTAATCGTCCATAAATGCAATAAGAAAATAGGTCATATATTATAATGAGACATAATTGATATATGGTCTGTGAGAATGTATATCAACAACGTCTGTCATAATTCTTGTGTGTGGGAAGAGGTGAAGTAAAGTGCAAATTTCTATCATATATACGTTAACACTTCTTTTAGGTCACGCTTCACAGAATGATTACTTAATAGTACGTATGCTCTATTTTCATGCATTTTCCACACTTGATATCAAATTTCATACGAGTAGGATTACCATCTACATATTCTTTAAGAGTATTGTAGAGTGTGACAATGTGTAGATTGATATGTTTTCTGAACATGCGCATCTATCATATATCAAGAGAACAATTAAGTTGATAATTGAATATTAACTAGAATTATTGTCGGATTTTTTTAAAATATCAACCACCATTTTTTAAATAACTTTCGATACATCCTAGCTATCGAAGTCAGGTTTTTGCCATTAGATGGAGCAATGTAGGAGGAATCTATCCATGTAATATTTATTACGTTTCAGGAAGTTTTTCAAGGAGATTTACAACTAAATATATTTTCCGCTGCACATTTCTACAAGTTTTCGTAGCAACTTATGTTCAAATTACACCAAAATGTAGCTTAAAGAGTGCTGTATTCTCCATATAATTGTTCAATTGTTTCACCTGCACTCTGAACTCATACTTCAAGAGAAATTTTCTGAAATCTAGAAATTTTCTGAACAATATGACTTACTCTTGGCTGCATTTTAGTGTAATCTGAACATAGGTTGCTACGAAAACTTATAGAAATGTGCAGCAAAAAAAAGTATTTACTTGCAAATCTCCTTGAAAAACTTCCTGGAATGTAATGAATATTACATAGATAGATCCCTCCAACATTGCTCAATATGATGGCAAAAATCCGATTTCAATAGCTATGATATGAATTATAAACAACCACACATGACCATCAAACAGTCCTGATCTCTCTCAATTGTCCATATGTTGTTCACAGTGTCCAAAATTGATCGAACAGAATTTTGTCCATTTCGAAAATAAAAAATGTATATATTCAATAAGCATTTGTTTGTAAATTGTCGAACTTTACACACTGTATCTTGTAGTATATTTTGTTTTTTTTTAATCAAATGTATTGGATAATACAAAAAAAAAGAAAAGGAAATGCGAAACGCAAGCATTCATCATGCCCTATCCCGTTAATTCATAGATGGAAAACGTCTTGTGCAAATAAGCTATTAGCGCAATTCCTATGAGACTAAAATATGAAACACGATGTAGCTGCTGTTACTAATTACAAGGAAACTGTTTTATTCTATCTATTTTAGGACACATCTATTCACTATACTTTTGCCTAATCCTTCAGAAATACAATAAGAAAATAGTTTAACAAAATGTTATTGATATACGATCTTTGATTCTATCAACAAGGTCTGTGAAGGAAGGATCCAAGCTTTATTTCAAAAATCCTATTATTTACAATAAAATAAATGTCAACTTTTGATTTCATGGTAAATTTTGTTTTTATGTATTCTCAAATAAATATGATATTTCTTATTTGATTTACCCATGTCACATAAACCGGATCACTTCTAACGGTAAACAGCCGGTTTTAATTGATACTAAATTTCACCTTTAGATCGAAAAAAACATGTATATATATGTGCGTGTCTGTCGCATTACTTATTTCGTTTGCTTGCTTGCTTGTTTAGAGAAAAGAATCAATATAACGATAATGAGGTTCAGTTAAGAATTAACATTTTTTTTGATATTGAAATTGTTAATATTTATTTCTTTTTTTTTGAGACTAATTCTTTTATATTTATGTTTTAAGATTAGTTTTTTATGTATGTTTTTTTTTGTATTAATTTGTATTTTAATTTTTGATTGAAATAAAAATTAGGTTAATTGAACAACAACTGTTAAATTTAAGTCCAAATATTAATGAAACAAAGAATCAACCGGTGTCAGTTAACTGCATAGAAGCATCGGTTAACCTTGATTCATCGGAAAGAACTACCAGTTTTCATTACATGAGTATTTAAAAATTTTCTCATTCAATTAATCGAATCATTTTCATCTGGAAAATTAACATTCATTAAAAATCGTACTGCTTGATCATATTCATCTAACCATTTTGATTCAATTGTATTTAACATTGATATTGTTTTATTTGAATTTATTTCAAGATTTTTAATTCTATATGGTGCTGGATGAGATCTTTCAATAATTGCAGTCCAATCAACATGATTTTTAAACCAAATATTTTGTTTAACTTCTTTTGCATCCATACCATTTAATGAACAACCTAGTCGTTTTTTTATATTCGGTTGCAATAACATCATACAAGTACATCGTGCTAAACTACTTATATGTGATGGAAATTTATATCGATAATTGTTAAGTACATTTTTATGTGTTTGAAACATTGATGAAGAAAAAAATGGTGTACAAGATGTTAACATTTCAAACATAGCTATACCTAATTGCCACCAATCAACAGAATATGAATATGGTTGACCTAAAAGTATTTCAGGTGGCATTATATCAGGTACACCAACAATTGAATATGTATAACTTGAATGTGAAGATAATAATTTAGCAAAAGCAAAATCACAAAGTTTAATATATCCATTATCAGTAAGAAGAATAGTTTCTAATTTAAGATTTCTCTAAAAAAATAAACAACAAGTCGATCTTATGTTCAGTTCAGAATACGCGCATAATCTCATATCCGACAATTAATGAGATCTCGTTTACATTTAAAGATATTGTCTTACTTACATAGATAATATTTAATTCATGTAAATATTCAAATGCTAAAACAATTTGTGCACTATAAAATGCTACAGCTGATTCTTCAAACCAACGAACTTGTCGAAGTAAATGTAATAATGTTATTCCACTAATATATTCAAATTTCATAGAAAAACATTTATGTTCTATATCAATATAAGAAGATATTAATGAAAGAATATAATTTGATTTTAAAAAATTTAATAAATATCTTTCTTGAAATAAACGTTTACGAAATATATCTGGTAAATAATAATCAATTCGTTTTAATATATACATTTGTCCATCATTAGAATCTCGTATTAAATAAGTTGAACCAAAGAAACCAATATTTAATTTCGATAGAATATCATATTTTTCTAAATTATAATTTGTTGATGAAAAAATAAGATTAGAATTTGATGATATTGAATATGTTTTAGAAAAATTTGTACGAGATAAACGATTAATAATATTATCATATTGTCGAACAATAGCACCAGCACGAGATTCAAATAGATTTGGAGAACTTATTGAATAACGACGACGACGATTTTGACGTTGAGCATCAATAAATGAATGTGTTTTTATACTGAAATTTTTTTCCATAATTAAATTAAACTCTATGGTAACAGTTATTTCTTTCAAAGTAACAAAACGAAAAAAATTATGATACATTCATTAGAATCACAACATCAATAAATTATCATAAAATGAAGTTAAAAAAAAACAATGTCTAATCTGAAATAATCATTAGATAGTTTCTGCAAGCATTTGGTGTATGAAAACTTTTATTTGATTTTGGCATATAGTGCAGAATTTATAAAAAACATTTCTATAATCATCCTCTGTTTAGAAGAGCTTTTAATAGAGTTGAAAGCCGATCGATTGAGCCGTTGATGTTGCTGATCTAAGCTTCAACTTATGCCTCTTGTTTTCGACTACAAAACGGTTCCGTATCAATCCATAATTATAAGAAACCTAAGATTTTATCTAGATTGAAATTGAAAGCATTTTCATAAAAGACTATATCTATATTATTCAATTAGTTTCTGAGAACAATCAATTTGTGATCATGCTTAACATAGAATCAAGATAAAATAACGATATTGACTTCGAGCATTAAATGAAAAACAATAGAAAGATGATTAATTAATATATCTTAAATTAATAAGAATTACTTTGTACATGTTTACAGCTTCTAAACTCTAAAAAGCTTAGTAAATTTTAATATGATGGTATACAGAAGAGTATTTATTTCGTATATATACATATAGATGTTGGATGGTAATGATACACGAATAAAAAATTTTGTAAAAGCAGTTTCAGATGTCCAAAAAAAGAATATCAAATTTTGAATACAATCAAAAAATTCGATAAAGTTTATACGATTGTACAATTCAAATACCGCGATGAGGATATGAGTGTAGATCTTATTTTTATCCATAACTATACACACTCCCTTGGGCTGATTCGAAATATAATTAGTTTGATGCTCAAATACCACTTTTTGTTCCAAGGCAAAAGTTAGCTCTGATTAATAGAGAATGTATCCTTTATTTGAGTTCATACACACAACTCATCGTGTAAATACAAACCCTAAAAGGGTATTCGTACCATTAAACCTTTCTTCTTGATTTATAATCATTTTACTGAATTTTCAGCATATTATAGAAAAAAAACTGTATTGAAGAGTTTCTGTCTGAAGCTCCAAAAGCAGACCATTTTTTAAGCATTTCGTATCTTAATCCTTCACTCTCTATTGATCACTGAAGTGGTCATTTGTAGAACAATTGTACAACACAAAGGAAGCATGGAATTTGAAAAGGATAAGAACATTTGTCGTAGTGAACTTCACGGGCTATCGATTGGTACAAAGAATATGTTTTTTTATCGCTTCATCTTTGAAATATCGGACCTACAAAGTCGATAATTTTGAAAAAATGAAAAAAATTGTTCTCCACTTACAATCAATAGAGGTCTTTCGGAATTTTCGTGTGATATAAATTGATGAAGAAGTCTCCACTAGTGAGTTAGATATGTTTCGAAAGCTTCACACACTATGACGCCTCTATTAAACAGCTGGAAGGCAATCAAGAACAAAGTTAATATATGTATTATAAACCTCAACTCATGAGAAGTCGAAATAGCATTTAATAAACTTATTTTATGAATGATTCTTCGGGAACTGCTGTCGGAAGTAAAGGGTTAAAATAAGAGAACATTCTTTTGAATTGAAACTCTAAGCATATCATTAAGACTATGAGATCTGTTTTTGAGGAAAATTTCACACAGAAATTCTCTGTTACGGTTGAAATATATTGAAAATTCAGTAAAATAATCATAACTGAAGAAAAAAAGGTCTAATAGCACGAACCATTTTAGAATTTTTATCTACACGATGTCAATCGAATAGATTCTCTCGTAAATGAAACACAAAAGTATATTCAAAAAATAATCAAATAAACTTTGTTTTATTTTAAATTATCCAACATTCATTTCCGTTAATTCACATAATGTACATATTTCAATATCCGTTAAAAATTGTTTTACATAAATACAAAATGATCTATTTCCAAAAACACTTGAAATTTTTACATAATATATATATATATATAGTTGAATTCGTAAATCTTTTAACACAGAAAATCTTGTATAGAGAATGAATACATCTTATATAAATTTTGATATACAGTTTTAATCAATAAAATTTAAATTGTTCAACTTCACATCATTGAATTAATTAAATTTACTCAGCAAGCTATACATACATCATTAGAAAAGTGTATCTCAACAATACGAAAAGAAGATGATACACACAGCAGGAAGAGAAAAGAAGTGCTCGCAAAATATATCCACACATAAAAAAAAAAAATCTATCTTCCAATCATTATCGAGTATCACTATTAACAACAACCAATATCTCTTCATCGTTTCTTTCTTTTTACTTTCTCTTGATTGACAGAGTAATAATAAACATAGCGAAAAAAAAGAAAACGAGATACTAATTCTCTTCTATCGAACTTTCTCCTTTATAATTGATCTATATATTTTGACATTAGTAAATCCTACATTCTCTCATAATGAATATTAATCATGTAAGAATACATTAAATAAACTTTTATACATATAGATTTTTTTTTTTCTTAGTTAAATCATTCAAATAATTATTTAACAAATATGAATAAAAATATTATATATCAGTAAGACAAGAGAAAACAAATAGTTTTTTTTTTTTTTAATTACATTCTTTTTATTTTCTTAGTCATCCATTATTTCCATTATTAACAATTATGTTTGATAAATGTGAATTAGCAACAAATTCTCTTAATTTACTTGGATCAATTAATGAAGATATTATTGAATTTACAAAACAGGTATAATAAAAACAACATAATTAATTCATATTTTCTTTTTTGTTTTTGTTTTTGTAGTTAAATAAAGAACAATTACAATGTTATACAACAAATCCTGAAATAGATAATTTAGTAAATAAAATTTTTTTTTTTCTATTAATATTAATCAAAAATATGTTTTCTAGATGTTACAAGCAATACAAATTCTACGAATTCATTTACTTGAAATTGAAAAAGTTCACGAATTATGCGATAATTTTTGTCAAAAATATATTAATCTATTAAAAGGAAAAATGCCAATGTAAGAAAAGAATTTCTAATAGAATAGAAAAAAAAACAAACTTTATTTTATTTTATAAGGGATATTATTATGGATGATTCAAAATCTGAAACAGAAAGTCTTATAAGTAATGATGATATTAAACCAATATGTTTATTACCTATTCAAACACAATATACTTCACCTCAAATATCATTAACAGATGAAATAAATGAAAATTTTGAAAGTGATACGTGTGAAGAAAATGATGATATACCACAACATCGTCAAAAAAAACGAGGAATATTTCCTAAATCAGCAACATTATTAATGCGTGCATGGTTATTTCAACATTTAAATGTAAATTTCAATGAATTTATTTTATCAAAATTAAATAATTTCTTATTATTTTCAGCATCCATATCCATCTGAAGAACAAAAAAAAATATTTGCTAGAGAAACAAATCTTAATGTATTGCAAGTTAATAATTGGTATGTTCATCGCGTGACAATAAGCAGCTGTCACATACGTTTTAATTTTTTTTTTCTTTTTCGATTTCGTTTGCACATATCCGTTTTTCAAAACGTGTCATAATGAGAGGTCGAAAATAAAACCTACAATTAAATTGTCATCTATTCATCAAAAGAATCAATATGAAAGCTTTTTCGATTTTTGTGTTTTTGTTTGATATATACGAACCGTTATGATTGAATTTTGTATTCGGAATATGAACAAAGTTGCAAAATTGTGACAATCTCGGATATCTATTTTTTTTTGTTCTTAAGATGAATAAAATTAGGCATTGAATAGTTTTTCTTATATGGATAATGAAGGATTTGTTACTTCTGAGAACTTTAAAAAAGTTAAAATAAAACTATTAGCGGAAACACGATCTAGTTGTTCTCACCAAACATAAGAAGATTGTTTTATTCTATCTAGTTTGAGACACATTTCTTCAATATCCTTTTACTTAATCTTCTAGAAAAGCAATAAGAAAGTAGTTTAACGAGACATTTTTGATATACGATCTGTGACGAGGGATTAGAGGCTGTCAGATCCGATGGGCTCTATTGAGAGTATCCCGCGGTCACCAGGATTGTAGAAGGGATTCATTTAGAAAGATCTATTGCACCCAGAAAATTTTTTTGGATCCGATACAGCTCTGTAGGGCAATTGGAAGATTTTTGCTTAGGTGTCTGTGGGAGAGGTGATGGCACGCTGTGTAGGCACTTGTATTGTCATCTTCTTATTTTTAAAAAAATTTTTGTGTTGTATTTGTATGCTTATGGGTTGTGAAGTTGTATGTTGGGTGAATTCCTGTTTCGTCGAAAAATTAAATTGCAATGAAAAAAACAGAATCAAAGCAACTAGCTTAATTGCCTTGATTTTCTTAAACAATACTTTTTTCTAAAGAAACTGATTAAGGGTGCGAACGTGGATATTCTAAATTCACATCCTGAACAACGAATATTAGCATTAGAAAAATATCTTGAAAAAGTTATGCGATTAATTGGTATAAAAAAATATTGATTTTTTTTTGTTGTTTTTCTGCGCATATTTTCTTCTCTAGCATCTTCTATATACGTACCTAATACCGTTCTCTAGTACACTTTTTTTGAGAAAAATCCTGTAGAATTATTAAGTATTATTTTTGATTCGTATGTTTAAAAAATCTAATCAAATAGAATATCTCACTCTTCTACTTTTCGACGAAACGGGACCTAATCGTATGCTGCTAGTCTGAGTGTTATAGTTAAATGACAATACATCTTTACATTATATTTATTTATTTCTCTTTATAAGACAAATTATCGTTCGAATATTGATTATTTGACATCTCAGATGAAGTGGCGTTCAAATTTTTACTCCTATACTTCAACACTCCTTTTAGATCGTGTTAAAAAAAAAGAGAAAAAAAAATGTTTACAAGACAATAGGATATTTCCATCTATGACCTTTGTAGACATCATTCAAATATTCTATCTGATCAATTGTTCACGAGATGAACTGTGTTAAAAACAGTTAACACTCCAGGAATTTTTCTTTTTTCGATCATGCAATTATGCTTGATCATTAGGCTTGTTCTTTTTCTTCTTTCAAGGAAATATGCGCGGACGAACATTAGAAGATAATAGTTTAACTCATCAATCATTCATTCAATTTTTTTTTGTAGTCTATTGTTGTAAACATAATGTTGACAGGTTTCAATCATCAAGTAGACGTCTACTTTTGACGAAAGGATGCAGCTGTTTTTTCCTATCACTTGATTTGGAAGCTTTGTTTTTGTTTTTTTATTTGTTAATTAATAGGTTTATTAATGCGCGAAGACGTATTGTACAACCAATGCTTGATCAATCGAATCGTGCTGGTAAATAAAATTTATTTATTATGAGATTTATAATGATTACACAAAAAGAAAAATGTTCATCAATAAATTCATTGGTTTTTTTTATATTTTATCTATAGGAATGATGGGAACAACTTATAATGATTTTCTGCCAACGAATCCTTATCATATAATTGATCCAAGTCGAACAACATATGAATTTCAGACAAGTATGTTATAAATAGAATTTATTTTAATCTTAACTTTGTTTTTTTTTGTTTTGTATAGATCTACATGATGAAATAGCAAGAACATCAGCATATCGATCACCACCAATAACAAATTATTCATCAATGCGATCAAATTCATTTTTTAATGCAGTTACTGATGCGAATAATACATTGTTATCAACACAATATGGCATATCACCATCATCTTATCATGGACAAGAAAGTGGAGATTAGATTATGTTTTTCTCTCTATCTTGTCTTTTATACGTATGTGTGCATATGTATCTCTCGTATTTCTTTTTTTTTTTTTTTGATAAAATAAAATATATACTGTGATGAAGTAATATTATTTTCAAAGAGTAGATAACATATAGTGACAATTTGAAATGGTTGCCAACAAGAATAAAAGTGATTTGTTAAATATCCAAAAGACCAAGTCTTTAGAAAACCAAAAATCTTGTTTTTCAGAAGCTAGAACACGCAAATATAATTTTGTTTAGATGACATAGAACGATAGCAAGGACTCGATCGACCTTCATGCAGAGAAGATAGATTTTTTCTTTAGACAAGAATATCTCAATATAGAAAATAAATCTCATGACGTAGGACTCCTCTCATTCGATAACTTATTTCTGCCTCTATCATCAATAAAAATTTCATGTCAAACCAAATCAACTTTTCCATTAAAATTTCACAATTAACAATAATAAAGAAAAAGAATAAAACGATGGTCGCAAAAAAAAAAGGAACTCACATTTGTTAAACATCATCAAAAACAACTGAATGAAACTGTTCAGTTTTAAAATCTACTTTATTTCTTGGTTTTTTTTTGTATTTAAAATATAATCATAGTGAACTAACGAAAATGTAATTACGATATTTCATCCTTATATTTATTATTTGATTCTTTTAAGGTTACACAAACAAAAAAAAAACATTGAAAATAAATCCCTGTTGAATAATTTGGATAGTTACTTTAAGTTTTAGAAAGAAATTCAACAAAAACTAATTATATATATTTGTCTACAAACGATCAGAATCTATTGCATTATACATACCAAAATTTGACAGAAGCTTTTCTTGTAATAGTGTGGTCACATGTAAAGAATAACTGTTCGAAAAGTGTATATAGAGTTTGATTGTTTTTTGAGTTTTAACTTACTGTTATGTATGATGTACTAGAAAATTCAATTCTGTGCAACATCAGAAAGTCAAAATTATCTTAAAAATTTCATTCAGAGAAATAATGAATAACAGAAGAAAGCCTATTTTGTTAAATTCGAACAACACTTTTGGCTTATTTAAATACTCGCTCACAACTGATCAACCCTAAACCAGTGAGCAATTCTGAAAATACATTTAGAAACAATATCAAATTTTTGATTTTAACTGACTGCTTTTGAGCTTCTACAATGACATTTGGGTCTTCAAAAAATGAGCAAACATATTTGTCTATGCATTTATTCAAAAAAAAAATTTTCTTTCTTTAACTTTGGTTTCTCTTAAAACAACAACTTTAACGGTGATTAAAATTTATATACAGCTCTCAGATTTACTCTCTGCCATGGACATTGATCCTTGAAAACGAACGATAAAAAATATCTTTCCTTTCGATGAATGTCAAAGACATGGTATACATGATGTATTCGAACAATAACGAAATAAAAAAACGAAAAAAGAGAAAAAAGAACAGAATGAATGGGAAGAAAAAAATTACAGAGTCAAAAATCTAACGTCTTCTATACATTTAGATACACGTGGTCATATACATACTTTGTACTGACAAATTTTTTTTTTATACATATACCTATCAATAGAATAAAGTAGGTCAGTTTTGTTTTGTTCACATCTATGTATTGTTAAGAGAGGAAAAATACTGTTTTCTTATTTAAGGTAAATAAGCAATCAAAGACATGGCAAAAATGCTTATTGATAAAGGCTTATCACTTATTAAATCAGGATCACGAGTTTACGTTCATGGTAAGTAGAATAAAAGAACTAAAAACTTTTTTCTGTAGATATTCGAATGTATTTACTTGTGTTTTTTAAATATTAAGTAAATGCACTTGTTGTTTACATTTGCTAATGTGTTCATGCATTAAGTTTCAATGATAAATAATTAATATCATGAATAGTTCAGGAGAGATACAATTGAAATTTATGAATGATATGAATCACTATCTATTTGATATAAATTAGGAATTACTACTGTTAATTACTCGAAAGGAAAATGATCGAAAAGTGAAATCTCGAAAAATGAAAATCCAAAAAAAAAAAGAATCTTGGAAGTATAAATGATAAAAGCAACTTGAATAGTTGAGAGATATACAATTTATTAATCATAAATTTGTTGATGAATGATAACAATTTAGAAATTAAGAATATACATATTCACCATCGATTATAGCGTGAATTGATGACTCACATTCAGACTCCCATATAAACAATGCTGAATAGAACGACGAAAAATAAAACAGAAAAAAATACAAAAAAAATGATTCATCAGTTAACAATGCTCGTTTGGGCTGTTTCAATAAAAACAGATGATTGTCAGCAGTAATTTAGTGTTATTATTTGTTTTGCAAACTTTTGATATTTGATATTTTACCTTGTGAGATTTTGCCCTTTGATCTTATTTGTTTCGAGCAAATAACATTCACTTTAAGTTAGGTCAGAGACACAATCACTATTTAACTTACCTAATTGTTTATATGAAACTCTTTTAATGCTAGATCGCGTTATAGTGGTTTTCATTAGCTTTCCAAGAGGTAGTATTAGTAGTAGGTCTAGAATAATCGCTCACTCGAATACTTATTCGCTAAGGATGTGGATGTGGATCTTCTCTTCAATCATCCATGACATACATATTTCCTAGAGTATTTACATTCCCAAAGAATTTCTGTGAGGTCAATCTGTTATTCTGTACGACTTATATTTATGTGTGTTTCGTTAAATAAAACTTGTCATTGTATTAGAATCATCAATTTGATAAATATTAATCAAACTAAGTTCATCAGTTTATGATGATGATCATTTTCTCATAAGAATTGTATCATTGCATTTGGTTACTTTATTCAAATTTCTTGTAAAAGTTTGTATAGCAAGTAACTGTTTGCATACTTTAGTAATAACAGGTTTTTAAGCAAAAAATTGATAATTAATCTGAGTATTTAGAATCAAGAACAGGATATCAGATAATGCGAAAAAGCAATAAAAGTCACTGCACGACAATATTCAAAATAGATACAATTACATATTCTTTAGTCTTTTTTTGTCGTTATTAGGTTGCGGTGGTATACCACAATATCTAAATCGTTTACTGGCCAAGCGTGCTAATGAACTTCGACGTGTTGAAATTATAAGCATTCTTCCCCTTGATAATACATATACAGATCCAAAATTAAACGATAGCTTCTTTGTTAATAGTCTTTTTGCATCTGGTTTTGTTCGGCCATGTATTGCTAATGGTACAGCATCATATATTCCAACATTTCTCAATGAAATGCCTCGTCTTTTTGATGAAAATATTCTTCCACTTGATGTTGCTCTTATTCAAGTATCACCACCTGATAAACATGGTTATTGTTCACTTGGTATTGCAGTTGAAGTAACAGGAGTTGCTGTACGAAATGCAAAAAAAATTTTTGCACAAATAAATCGAAATATGCCACGTGTACATGGTGATACATTTGTACATATAAATCAAATTGATGCTTATGTTGAATATGATGAACCATTGATTGAACTAGATTATTCAAAAGAAATTTCTGATGTCGAAAGAATAATTGGAAAACGTGTAGCTGAATTAATTGATGATGGAAGTACACGTAAGTAATAGAAGAATTCAGAAATATTCTTTTACGTTTTTTTTAGAAAGGAGATTTATCAGAGAACTCAAAGATTGAATTTCTTTCTCAATTCTCAAATTCATAATAAAACATCGCTGAAGATTTTTTTCCCAGTTACACAATTCAAGTATTTAGAATAGATGAATGTTTTAATGAGAAAAATAAAGTTGGAAATATATAACTGTATAATCTATCGAAAAGTATGAAGCTATATCTTCGGGACCTTAAGCATCGCTAATGAATTATGCTATTATAAAATGTATGACAGATATTGTATGATCTACTCTTGTTTTACCTCCTATTTTCTTTCGCTTCACTAGTATTTCTAAAAGAATAACCTTAGTTCACTAAATATTTTACTCACAAAGAAGGTTTAACATTAAAACTTTTCAATTGTGAAATAATCCTCTAATATTACTATAGAAGTGTCTTGATTTTATTGAGCATGTAGTTCGACTATGAAGAAAAACTTCTCAGATGTCCCATTTTAACTCTCATTACTTATTCACGTACCTATGAAATTCGCATGCAAACTTTCTATTTTTAGTTCAAGCAGGTATTGGTGCAATTCCAGATTGTGTATTAAAATCTCTTGAACATCATAAAGATTTAAGTATAGCATCAGAAATGGTTTCCGATGGTGTTATGACATTAATGGAAAAAGGTGTTGTGACAAATCGTTATAAAAAATTTCATCCTGGAATAACAACATGTACATTTATATTGGGTACAAGAAAACTTTATGATTTTGTTAATGATAATCCAAAAATATTTGCTTTTGATGTTGGAATAACAAATGATCCAACACAAATTTGTCGAAATCCAAAAATGTGTGCTATTAATGCTGCACTTGAAGTTGATCTTACTGGACAAGTTTGTGCAGAATCATTAGGTGTAATGCATTATTCAGGTGTTGGAGGACAAGTCGATTTTATGCGTGGTGCTGCTTTAAGTGAAAAAGGAAAACCTATTCTTGTTTTACCATCACAAACATCAAAAGGAATTTCACGTATTGTTAATACAGTAAGTTTCAATGTTGATTCTAAGTTCTTGTTTTTGTATTTTTTTTAAATATTTAGTTAAAAGAAGGTGCTGGTGTAACCACAACTCGAGCTCATGTTCATTATATAGTAACTGAATATGGTGTAGCAAATTTATTTGGTAAAAATTATCAACAACGAGCTAAAGCATTAATTGATATAGCTCATCCTGATCATCGTGAAACATTAGAACGTGCTGCTTATAAGCGTTTTAAAACTCTTTATTAAATTTTTAAAAATATCGAAAAGAATAGCCTATGTCAGCGCCAGAATAAAATATAGATAAGAGGAATACGAATATATCATGAGCGGTAACAGCTAACGATATGCGGTTTTCAGCAATGGGAAGACAAAATATCATAACGTCTTTTGTTTTCGAGAATATATACGACGAAGTCATTGTATCGATGCAATAAACTGTAAAAAAACTTTCAAAACATGCATGAACATGCTCTGCTGTTCTGATGAAACTTTCATTTTACGACATGCTTTAAGGCAACCTACTTTGAGAATGTGGGATATTACTAAGAACCCAACTGTTGCAGTGGTAGTATCTGTTGGAGTTGCTGTTAGGGATGAGTGAAGAACGCTGTGGTTATGCTTCACGGTGTGAACGTAAGGGAGCATGCGGCTATCAGTGATGGCTGGAGTTAGAGGCCTGTGGCAGTTTAAAGCTCCATAAGTTCGTACAGAAGCAAAAGATTTCAACCCTTGTAACAAGTTCGATGAAAAACCTAAGTTTTTTTAGAGTGTACTCATATTTTTTGATAAGTTATACATTGGCGAGACCTCGCACTAAAGAAAAAAATCAGGATGAATAAACATTTAGCCAATATAAAAAAATTCGTATTCGACTTGAAACTAGTCGAACATGCTCAGCAACTTCAACATATATTTAATTTCACATAAATTGAAACCCTCTTGTGAGAAAGCAACTAGAAAAGACACAAAATCAAAGAATCTCATTCAATGATGCAAACAAATCGAAGTTTTGTGTTTGGTATATAGATGTAGATGTCTTCTATCTAATAATCATATTTTAACAAGACTAAATTACTTATTTACAAGTTAAAACCTTAATTTTATGCTAAAAAAGTCAAAAAGTGCAACTTTCTTCGCGTTTCTCTTAAAACTAGATTTTCAAACAAAAAATTGAAGTTTTTTCCCTTTTTCTCCTAAACGGTATGACCGGTTGAACTCAAACTTTTTTGTGGATACTTCCTGAGTTTCAGAAATTATATTTTTCACAAAGAAAAAAAAAGACACCTAGGTTTGTTTCTAGTTGCCACAGAAAAATTTTCAACCAAGAAAAAAAATCTAGTGCGACTGTTTGTGAGGGAGGAAAACTTCAGGACATTTTTAGCCTTTGACCTGCCAAAATATTTGGCAGTTTTGAATCTATGACAACTTTTGTTCTACTCATCGAGGTCTATCTATCCTGAAAGTTTCAAAAATTTTTGTCGAACCGTTCTCAAGAAATCTTGGAAAGGGGAAGTTTCAAGGAGGAAACAGCTAAAATCAGAATTTTTTTGATTTTTTTCTCATTTTCTTTAGTTTTTATTTGTTTTATTTTAGGGTCTTAAAACACTTGTTGATAAGATTGTTTTCAAAGCTGCTTGTTTTAATAAGATTCAACTGTGTAAGCAAGCCCAGATTCACATTTGTTAAACATCTAAACTAATTCTTCTCCGCTGTCTCGAATGAGTCAGATTACGTTCACATCAGTAAAAAGAGTTATTATTACTCTGAGCCCAGAATTTCGTGGATTAGTATACTTTATAGCAAGGTTTTCTGAATCATGTTCGGTACAGATTTTGTTCTCTTTTGAGTTTTCCTAGAGTCCTGGAGTGTGAGTAAAAAAATTTAAGTAAATCAAGGTATTTTTTACCTTCTGAATTTGCTGCTTCCATCAAGCTGATTATAATAAGAGGAATGAAACAATACAATTTATTGAATCTTCATATTTTATTTAAAAAACAAAGGAAAACTCATAGTATCATTTGTTCTTTACACGTCTCGAGCAATCCGATGATAGTGATGATTTATCATGCATTAACAGCCAACAAGCTGTTTGCTTATGTAAGAATTTTGTTTGTCTATTGACTGTAACTTTAAAATATGATTGAGCAACAGAAGGTTTAACGTTGTCATAAATGCGCATATCATGAAACGAGCAGTTGCTAACATTCGATAAACATTCTGAGTCAGACATATCTTGGTCGTTGTCAGAATCTGACGATGTTGAATCATATTCAGTCCCATAATTGTTTAGTTCATTATCTGATTCCGAATCAAAATCGGAAGACTCTATTTGACTTGAATCACTGATTTTTGCAGTTTTTTCTAAATGGTCTTTGATGATAACACTGACTTCATTAATTGTTATTGAATTACCATCTTTGTTTAAAATATAGACATCTAGAGATGCTACAAGTTCACTTGCATCAGCAAATGCATGTTTAACTATTTGTTCAATTTCATCGTTAGACAAAGAACTGGAGATGTGTACATCATCTGGTATATGACTTGTGTTGATAAAAGACTTTTTTGACATCATAAAATATTGCATAGAAGTTTGAAATATGTTAGATACACATATCGAGAAAGAAAGAAATAAAGAAAATATGAATGGATCAATATCGAACAATCACAAGCTAAAGTTAGCATTGCTTTTCTAGTTAACATGACGCCGCTAGCATATGATATACAAATACTGTTGACAAATAGTAAGTACGGTCGAAACATTTTTCTTCATTTCTTGTTCGATATAAATAGTTAGATATTTTAAGTTTTAAAATTCCATTCTTCTCTCAATGTTGTTCTATTTATCGTTTGCTTCGACAAAAAAAAATGAAACCAAGGAAAAAATATTACTGACATATTCACATCTTCATAATGTCTCATCCATGTATGTATAGCATGATTTTCAACATGTTACATTGCTATAAAAACTTACTATTAATAGAAAAACAGAGTTCACAGTTGAGAACTATAACGAAACAATTGATATATAGGAGAAAAGAGATGAAAATAAGACATGATTTTCATTGATTTCTTTGATTTTTCTGATTTTTTTATATTTTTGATTTTCTTTTTTGATTTAAATCAAAAAAATCAGCTTTTTCCTCTTTGGGAAAGTCCCTTAAGAGAATCATTTTATCCTCTGCATTTATTACCTTCGTTTCGTTTCTTGTTTTCTTTTTTCTTTTTTCTTTTTTTTCTTTCTCGTCAATCATTTTACATACAGAACACGGTATTAATTGTTGACCATTTTTTTTTCTTTCTATGTTGACGTCAAAACGTGCGTAAGTAGAAAAGTAATAAAAAAAAAACATGATAAAAAAATATTTGTAGTTAGTAATAGTCATGCGCATATTTGATACAATACATGGCACAACGAAAAGAACGTGCAGTGACAATTTCTAACGGTGAAATTGGTCTTCGACTATTCAAACTATTTCAGCATCACAAGGGTCATCTTCCTCATTTCACAAATACTGTACCCTCGACACTCTACTTAGCTTGTCAAAATAACGATCTAGCACGTGTAGAATCATGTCTGAAGAAAATGAAACGTAAAGAAATCGACTTTCAATATCCACCAAACAATGAAACTGCTCTACACGTAGCAACACGAAACCAGAACAAGGAAATTATTCAAATCCTTTTACATCATGGTGCACAACGGTCGTTAAGAAATGCAAATGGTCAAGAAGCTTATCAGCTAGCTGAAACAACAGAAATAAGAGATTTATTTAAACGTCAAATATCATCATCTCGTTTTGCCTTTTTACACGGTCTCTATAAAACAAATACTTTGTCTCAACACAAGATTAAATGTGAAAGTTGTTCACTAGTAAATGATGATACTTTCTATGAATGGGAATTAGTTGATCTAAATGCAGTACAGAAAGCACGAAGATTTCGTCATGAACTGAAACCATCTAAATCAATGGCTAAAAAAGATTTAAAACAAAAACTTTATTCAATAAATAAAGGTTATATTGATGCACGTCTAAAAGATCTTTCTGAAACAGATGATTCACGTATACATGATTATTTTAAACGTGCACGGCTTCTACAAGAACCCTACTATATTATCACTTCATATACTATATGTCAAAATTTTTCAGAATTATTAAACAAAGATATGGCACGTAATGTTATACATGATTTGAAGAATGGTTGTAGTAAGTTTTCTTGTGACTGTCTCTATTCAACGGAAGATGGTACCAAATCAATTACAAATATTCTTCTTCATCATCAAAAGTTTCAAGAATTTAGTTTCCAAGGTGAAGTTTATCGTGGAATTGTCGTACCTAAGAATGCGCTTGATCATTATAAAGTTAATTCTTGTATTATTACAACTACACTTCTTTCAACATCAAGAAATCCTGATGTTGCAAAAATTTTCTGTGATAAAGGACCGGAAAATCCAACTAAACATTCATTCTTCTGTATTTATGAAATATGTAATGACAATCGTACTGCTCTTAATATATCGAAAATATCAGAATTTGAAGATGAAGATGAAGTAGTAATCTTACCGTATTCAGCTTTTCTTATTACAAAGATTGAACAAGGACAAGAAATAACAAATATTTATTTGAAAGAACAATCTTTAACACATATGTTTGGTGACGATGGATCACCAGAATATTTAATTAGGTCGACCGTACATCCAGTGGAACTTGTCTGGAGTAGTCTATTGCAAAACGCAAGTGGAACATTATTACAAGAAGATAATAATACAAGACCACGATCAAAGACGACGCCTGTATAACAGACACGTTTTTAGTTTACACCCATTATTTTGTTTAGATGTTGATTATATAGATAGTAACAAAGTCTAACTTGAGTTCATGATTCTATTCTTTTATGAAATAAAGGAAATAAAACTAGGCGATTATTTTGCTGAAAGTCGAATTTTTCATTTGCGCTCGTCTTACTTCCAAAGAAAAACTCTGAATGGGTGTAAGTGTTGGTGTTCTCTTGCCTACCATTCGTATCCAAGTTTAATTGTTTGGATTATAAGCTTTTTTTATTCTCTTTAATAGAATTGTTTAGTTTTGATGGCGACATGCCGCAACAATTAATGCATCCTGAAAAAAGAATTTCGAAAAAACAAAAATTCTTTTGCGATCTTTATGTAATAGATAGTGTTTTTCAGATATTATAGAAATTTCATGCGACTTCTAAGATTTTTCGATGGTTCATGAAGTCTCTGTTCTTGAAATCTCTTAAAGACTTGAAGTCTAGGAGTGACCCTTTACCTTTACTATCCTTTATAATAAAGGATAAACATAAAATAAAGAAATAAAGGATACTTTTACAAGAGAAAATGTGATTGGAAGAGTTCTAGGACTTAGGGATGGTTCTTATAGCTTAACTTTAAATTAAGTTTGAAGTTCTGACTTAACACTTAATTCTTAAAATGAAGTGTTAAGCAGGAATGTACAGCTCATGCTAATGAGTGAGCAATTTTCCTTTTTCAAATAGGAGAAATATTATGAGCTTGATTTTTTTCATCAGGAAAAGAGTTTTTTTTTCCAAAATAATGATTTTTTTAAATAAAGTTTGATCAAAGGTAATTGGAACCGGCAAATCCAAATCTGTAATCAGTTTTTTGAAATTTTGAGTTTAATTTTTTTTACTCAGAACCATATTTCAAGCAAAAAAATCTCTGTTTGTTGCAAAAAAAGCTTTTTTGTAAATAAAAACATTTTTTATACAAAAATATTTTTTTGCTAGAAAATTACTTTTGTGGTAAAAAAAACTTTTTTAGTGGAAAATGGTTTGTTTCTTAAAATATGACTTTTAATTAAAAAAATGACGTTTTTCGTAAAAAGTTAAAAAATTAAACTCAAAATTTCGTAAAATCGATTACAGATTCAGATCCCCCAGATGTCGATTATCTTTGGTCAAACCTTATAAAAGATTATTATTTTTGAAAACGACTCTTTTCCGGATGGAAAAAATCAAACTCAAAATACCTCTCCTATTTGGGACAGGAAAACTGCTCATGAGCGTGAGCTGTACATTCCTGCTTACCACTTAATTTTAAGAATTAAGTATTAACTTAATACTGAATATTAATAAATAAAGTAGCGATTGCTAAACTCTTTTTTTTTATTAATATTAAGTGTTAAGTAAGAACTTTAAACTTAATTTAAAGTTAAGTTAAAAAGACAATCACTAGATTCTAAAACTCTTTCAGTCACATTACCTCTTGTAAAAGTAATCTTTTATTCCTTTATCTTTATTTTATAAAGTAATACTAAAGGACCATATCTATTGAAGTCAACTGTTTCTCCTTGATCTGTCTACTGTAAAAATATCCGGCAAATTAATGAGATTAATTGAGTAACATTGATCGTGACTTACGTGCAATGTCTTATACCAAAGATTGATCTTTTTGCTTTCACGAAATAAATTATATTGCATTTCTTTCTTGTTAGTAGAATTGATTGAAGAGGAATGGCATCGATTAGCTTATCATATTTAGTTAGGATCCCACGCAAAAAGAAAAAAAAAATTTCATATCAAATCTCGAATATCAATAGACTGAATCGCTCATTCTTTGGTTCTGCCTCAGTGTCAAAGCTAAGGATTTTATAGCACAATCTCTTGTATTTATTAGATTAGGAAAAACCTTGTTCGTTACATTAAGAAAATCTATGAATTCATGCTATCGAAGAAATCTTTGTCACATTTGACATATTACTGTCGGTTCTTTTCCGATGCGATCCATAAATAAATATTTTTGTCGTCAACACAGCTAATGAACGTCTGAATTCATTCATATAAACATTCGATGGATAAATATAAATTAGGAATGTCATTGTAAATGGTACATTTGCTAGTGCAATCAGAATAAAATACAGACGTAAAATTGTTGTTGGACTAACACGATCACAGGAGTAAATCACATGTTTAAAAAGATACCATGGTAATATACATAGGATATAACATAGTGGCGGTATAAAAAAATCCATATGATTCTTCATTTGTTGTCTCCAAACACACCAATATTCTTGTTCACCTAAATTAATATAGACTTTATGTACACTAATATGTTTGAGTACAAAAAGACTTGATACAATATGTAAAAAACATGTAATTAGTACAGTACCAAATTCAATACTTTTTACAATTTTTGTTAAAATAGAAATAACTATCGATGCAGAAAATCCACTAAAGTATAATAAGACTGTAGGTATTTGTGTAAGCAAAGTAATTATCAATAAAATAATTGAGAAAAGACAAGAACGTTGTCTTGTCGCATAAAAAGGATAATTAAAACATTCTATAAAAAGACGTTCACAAGCAATCATACTTGAATAGCACATTGCTGAAAAATTTAATATATTCAATGAAATGGCTGATACATAAAATAGAGCTGTGCGTTGTAATGATTGTGTATCACATATAAGTGATGTTTGAAGAAATATACAACGTATTAAATTGCTGAGTGAAAGAAGTATTAGATAGACACCAAGATTTGTTATACGTATAGATAAACGAAGACATGTTTGAATGGTTAATAGGTTATTGACAATAGAAAATACAATAATTAATTGAAATAAGAAAATTAATAGATATTCTGTATTTGGTAAATATAGAATTAAATTATGATATCTTGACTGCTGTAAAATATCTGTACATGATGTAGTAGTTTGGAGTTTAATTGTTGACGTACTCATATCTATTTCGTCTTTCATATATGTGCACACCTAATTATAGAAACAAGAATCGTGAGCTACGCAGTACTATTTCATATAAAGATTGAGAGTATAGAACACGTTCGTTCTCTTATATTGATGATGACATATATTTATTTGCGCATCTATTTTGGTTCTGATATGATATGAATGGAGAGGTAGAATGAATATAAAGGAAGTAAAATACGTGTCGACAGTGCTTCTACTTTTTTTTGACTAGGATTTACGCGATTAGTAAAATAGATGAAATGATCAGTGCGTTAGAATATTATAAAATCAACAGATCGAATGATTGATCAGTAAATTACTTCGATGATCAGTTATTTATTGATCAGATTTGTAAATAAATTTGAGAATCAGTAAATATAATTAATTAACAGTAAATTAAATATAAAGCTAAGTATAGAAATTCAAATGTGTTATAGTGTGGTTCATTTTTTCTGTTTTTCAACTATGTCGTACAGATAACAAGTACAACGTATATATATTAGTGGCCAGTCATGGCTTCAATCCAATTTCAAATGCGCATAGTTCAATGTGAGACTCTCAGATTTGCCTAGTCAAATGTCGGATTGGAAAGCTGGTTTTCGTGAAAACTTTTAACTGTCCTTGGACAGCTATTAATTTGGAATATTTCTTACTGAACTGTTTTCAAAAAATGGCATTTCAGCTAATGTAATCATCGATAAAGAAATTAATTTAGGGTTCTAGAACTTGCGAATAGGTTTCTTTAGCAAACCAGCTGTTATAGAAAATTATCCATAAGTGTTTGTGTTTAAACTTTATTTCTTCAGTGATGATCGCAATGTCGGAATACCCCATTGTTTTAATCTAGTTCAGCAATATTATTCCAATACAATATTTTTCTAGTCACTAGTGAAGGCTTTAACGAAAACTGCTTTCCCAATCTGGCATTGCACTAGTCCAGAATAAGACTCCAGGTTGACCTAAGTGGATCTAAGATTGGACTGAATTTGAGATTAAATACTAATAAATATACACTCTTTACTCCTATCCTCTCGCTCATCATTACTCAAGTTTTAACAAGTGAAAAAGATGAAAATGGTAGAGGTTGCACAATATACAAGCAATTTATCCGATAAAGTTTTAGAAGAAAATGCTTATTCATTTAATATATTGCAAACGAGAAGTAGCAACAAAAACAGTTCCCATTGGCGAGAAAAGAAAAAGAGGTAGACAGTTAAGACTAAGCCTGGTTTGCTGATCCAATAATTTTATTTTTATGTTCATTTTCTCTTTTCTCACTCACCCTTTAGATTTCTATAAAATATTCTTTCGGATTGTTCTTTAATTATTTAAATTTCTTTTTCTGATAACTTTTTATTTAATACGGTTAAAACTTATTTTTTTACTGATAAAATTTCCATACTATGCTGATCAAATTTGTATTTGTTACTGGAATAAATTGTATATTTTACTGGTAATTATATACAATATACTGATCATTCTATTATTAGTTACTGATACTTTAGTACTAATCGTTCAATTTTTATACTGATGATTTATCTCTTTTTTTACTGATCATTTAATCTTTTTTACTGATCAAATATTTTGTTTTCCTTTTTTTTCTCACAATTTTAATGAAATTTTCGTTGAAACACTCTTTCATTCACCATAAATCAATCAACTAAGTTAAAATCAAGGGGATAACAGCGGACTGCAGACTCTACAGTACCAAGAGACTTATAAAATCACGCGAAGTCTCGAAGTCTTACAGAAGCTTTCTATCAATCAAATTTTAGTCAGACAGAAAAAGTATGCTCAATCAAAATTTTTGGTTTTGTGCTCTCTATGAATGTACAAAGACATTCCTACGTGCATTTTCTTTCTCTTCTGTATTTATAATAAAATGGCAATATGTGCACATAGGATGATCAAAAATTTCTCGGAACATCTGCCTTTTTATTGAATAAATGATATTCAAAGCAGTCGCCCTTGTTTGTTATATCGGGTTTCATTCAATCAACTCATTTTTGAAATGTCTTTCAAAATTTATCTTGTAGTAAGGCATGAATCTTCTTGGTTACAGCTTGTTGTAAAGATTTGGAATCCGGATAACTGCCTAATTGCCGTTTCAAATAACCAAAAATCTGATGCAGCCAAGTCAGATGAATAAGATGGATGAGGCATCGCGATCATTTCTTGTTCTTGAAGAAATATTTTAATGTCATTTGTTTTAAAGAGTCTTACTTGTCATGATGCAGCTTGATGGCATGCAAACCAGATTTTGGCCTTTGTAGTCTGATATTGTTAAATAAATGTTTCAAGCAATTATCTTTGTAGTAAATACCAGATATTGTGTTGCCAGATTCAATCATGTGAATAAGCTCTGGTCCTGTTTTTTCACAGAAGACCATAAACATGTTCTTTTGATCGTATTGGTTTCGCCTGACCACTGTTGTTGGACTTGCATCTTCAGAGGACCATATCATAGTTGATTGTTTCGAACTAATACCACGATGATAAATCCATGTTTCGTCACTTGTAATAATATCACATAAATGTCATTGATCCACTCCCAATTTAGCAAAGTTTTCTTAACAAATTTCAATTCGTTGTTGTTGGCATTTTTCTGTCAGCTAATGCGATACCCATCTTGCATATAACTTTTTCAATTTTAATTCATCATGAATAATATTACTAATAGTACCATAGGATGGACCAGTTTCAAATACCATGTATCGAATACTGATGTGTAAATTTTCTTTAATTAATGCACGAACAACTCCAATATGTCCATCGGTAATATCGGTTACTGATCGGTCAATTCTTAGTTCATCTTCTAATGAGGTTCTTTTCTGTCTAAAGCGTTGCACTCATTCAGCAACTGTACTGTACGACACGTGACCTTAATCCCATGTATTACACATCTCCATATGAGTTTGCCTTACTGTATAGCCAGGTTTGAATCGTGTTACGATGTAGTAACGAATATGTATTTTATATATCTAAAAATACAGCATACAGAAAAGATGAGGGTATGGAAATAAGGATGAGTTGGAACAACCATTGGCATTGTAACCGATGACTTTTAATTAATGAACAGATAATGACTCATTGAAAAGATTTTTATGTTCTATTAAATGTCGAGATTAAGTCAATTGATTCAGCCATTATCATTGCGGTAAATAATTGCTAAAAATCTCAGCTGCTGACGTCGCAAAATAGAATTCTCTAGCTTCTTCTCATTAAATTCTCTACATCGTTTTCTTTGTTTTTCATTTCGAAATTCCACGGAACTGAGAACATTTTCGAAAAAAAAATATCAAAAAACTTCAGCCACTGCTGACAAACGTGAAAAGTTACAATACATTGGACCGACAACTAATGCATCGATTTACATCTCGAATTGAAAATACTAAGGAAAATACTTAGAATTCCTTAAAAACATTCACATGCTACCTTACGAGCGTGCTGAAATACTCATCAAAATACTTTTATAGTAACGTTTAGAAAGCAAATTTGACTTTCTTGAAATTTGTATTAAACTATTTCATCATTTAATTCAATCGTTTTTTGAGAAAAAGTATTTGAAAAGAAATGATTAAAAATAATTATTCGTATTTGTTCATTGTTGATAAAATGATTCTGCTTGCACTAAGTTTCGAGTGGTCCACTTCGTCTTAATTTTGTTTAGACATGGTTTTAGTGGCAGAGATGTACAGACGAATTTGATGGCAAATGTATATATTACACAATGATATGTTTGACGAAAATATTTATTAACCTAGATAGGATTTGAATAGTGGAGAAGAATCTGGTTCTCTGTCAGAGTATTGAGCTAAGTAGCTGAAGATATTCAAGAAAACAAAGAGAGAACATTCCTCTCTTAATTATAACAATTGGCAGTGGTTTCAATCCATAAATTCGAGAACTTCTATAATGAATTCAATAATCTGAACAGTGGAAAAGTTAACAAATGAAATAGACTTAGCCGAAATAGTGTTCGCTACGATAGCTGACAGTTACATTCAATCTACTCTGGTGTCGAAAAAAACAATTAGTTTTACAGGACTTTTAATAGTGAAAAAAAAGAAAAAACTGCCATCGAAACTGGAAATGAAAAATATCACACTATTTTGTAATTAGTTATTTTTTTTCTCGCCATCATCAATTCAGATTTCTGCTCAACGACAAGATTCACATAAGAAAACAGAAACTTCACTTCTTTTTTTTCTGAAACTAAAAACCTTTGACTATTGGAGAGTATTGAAGACGGAAAGAACTGACGATTTATTGTATTATTCGATGAAAAATTCATTACTTCTATGAAATATTCTTATTTCAAAAATAAAACATGAAAGCTCGTAAATATTGTTGTCTTTCTTAGGATGATAATCGTTTGTGTGGTATTACTTGTCGTGTCAGAAATATGTTTAGATTTCCACAAAAGGAAATTACCAAAATTTGCCATTATTTCAATAATCATATAGCAATGCAAATAAAAAGTTTTCAAAAATACTGAAGATTTTCGTAAGTACAGAATTAATGAAGTTACATCATTTTGGGTAGTACTAAGCAATGTGAAGCACAAATGCTTGAAACTTCCTTTTTTTTTTAGAAAACGAAACACGGATTGAAAAAACTCAAGTCAAAAAAATCTACAATAGACCATTCCTTGCATCCTCATCTTATCTTTCGAACGATGAAAATTGCAGCTCTCTATTTTGTTGCTATTCAACTTTTGATACATGCATTACTGTTATCGTCACATAGCATCGAAAACAGTTTTATCGAAATTTTATTAGTAGGATACTAGTTGAAAAATGATGAACTGTAGCACAAATATAGAGCTTTGTTTTTACTATTAATAAATATAGAGAGAAAGAGTTTCCTCAAGCTTTCTATACAGTATCAAAATCCTACCACTACTACTTTTGGATTGCCTTAACAGTGAAGCTTTTTGTATCAATGCGCAAGAATATTGATTATGTTTTTGCGTATCAATACAAAATATGCCATTGTACATAATTATGATCGATTATCATTTGATGAGAAATAACTAAAAAAAATTCGATTTTAATTCAGATTTGTGATTATAATTATGGTTATAGAATTTTGATAAACTTTTTTTTTCTTTCCAAACATGGCAAAAAGATGATCGTGAATTCTTGAAAAATTTGAATCAAAATACTCAAACTCGCATAAATTGCTATATTTCATATTATATTTACGCTGTTTTGTGTTCATGTTTGTTTAAATTACAATAAAATACTTTTAAACATTCAAGAATTAGAATCGTCGCATCCCTAATTTATACTCGAAACTCGATAATTTAAATTCTCAGGAAATCTTTATGTTCAAAGCCCAAAAATTGAGTTAAATATGCATAACTCAACAAGGCTAAGTAAGAAAATCAAATGGACATACACTTCTCACTATTCAGCAAGACTGTTCAAATATCGAAAATTTCAAACGAAAGGTAATTTGATAGTTGAAAAGGTTCCTTCGTGAGTCTTATTCGATTATAAATAGAATGGCGACAGCATGTCAATAATAGGTGTTTAAAATTTTCTATAAAACATTAAGAAATTCACATAGATACTTTTAAATATATGTTGATAATCATGTGTTCAAAATCGTGCAATATTTCATTTTAAATAATAAAGAAAAATATTAGTAAAAACTTGATTTTTCATGGTACTATTTTAATATTGTATGTAAGAAAATGTTAAAAAAATTTGTTGTATTTTCTCTTCCTATAAAACTTTCAAAAAAAAACATTATGAAACTGGAATTGAATAAGAAACAATGCTAATATGTTACTATCGGAACCTATTGTAATACCTGCAGATCAGATATCTCTTGAATCCTAATGCATTAATAGATACACTACATCGACAAACAACGACAACTACTGATATGTCTGTATACGATGTGTAGATATAAAAAGTATAATATGGACTAAAGGACTCCAGTTCTTGTTTTTAATGATAAGGACTTTATGAAGAAGATGTGCTTAAAATTTCGTAAAGATACTGTGTTTCTTGCTTAAAAAATGTCTAAAAACTAAAGATTAATTATGTAGTGATAATTTACTTCAAATTTTCATTAATATAAAATTCCGAAGTTAGACAGATATCAACTTAGGTTAACTTGATATAATTATTTCAATAGGTATGAGAATAACATAGTATTATTCTTATCGATCACTATAAAAGAAAAGAACGGAAGACAAAAAGGTCACACCCTTCATATATATTTCTGGCTTTTATAGTGTAAACAATTGACGATATGGTGGCAAGGATGTTGATCGAACAAGCTTTATCATCTATTAAATCAGGTTCACGAGTTTTTGTTCACGGTATGTAAAATACAATAATTGAATGATTCTTTTTTATTTATTTTCTATGCAGTAGATGTGTTAATGCATTTCTATGATCAGATTTTACTACTAAAACGTCCGATACATAACCTTTAATATTTAGAAAAAAAGAAGCAATTTTAATTCTTGTAGTAGAAAATTTCAGGAATTATTTTATTAGTAAAGATGTGTAATAATATTGAAAATAGATTTCTATAAAAAAAAATAAAATATTCATAATTGACATTTATATCATCATTGTTATCTAAAAGATGTCAGCAGAAGCAATAAATTTCTAAACAACAAGCAATGATAAAAAATATCTCGGTGCAACTCTTACATTAATCAGTGTATTTTTTTTATCGATACAAATTCATTCACAATAAGTCCCTAAATCAAGTTATAACAAATATCAAATAAAAGATATGTATATTTCTCTTTATAATTAGGCTGTGGTGCTACACCACAATATCTCAATCGTCTACTGGCCCAACGTGCTAATGAACTTCGACGTGTTGAAGTGATGGGGATTCTTCCTCTTGATAATACATATACAGATCCAAAATTAAAAGATAGCTTCTTTGTTAATAGTCTTTTTGCATCCGCTTTCGTCCGATCATGTATTGCTGATGGTACAGCATCATATATTCCAGCATTTCTCAGTGAAATGCCTCGTCTTTTTGATGAAAATATTCTTCCACTTGATGTTGCTCTTGTTCAAGTATCACCACCTGATAAACATGGTTATTGTTCACTTGGGGTTTCAGTTGAAACAACAAGAGCTGCTTTACGAAATGCAAAAAAAGTTTTTGCACAAATAAATCGAAATATGCCACGTGTACATGGTGATACATTTGTACATATAAATCAAATTGATGCTTATGTTGAATATGATGAACCATTGATTGAACTAGATTATTCAAAAGAAATTTCTGATG